GATTTAATTAATTAATTAATTATAATTACAAAAATAAATAAATAGGAAACAAGAAAACAATACGTACCTTGCCTTCAGAATAATTGTACCAGCAGCCTAGACAGCAGCAGAAGACGAGAGGGCGTCACTTGTATGTCCAAGCTTCTGTCCTTCCTCTCAGTTGTACGGGGCGGTTCGGCGTACTTTCCCCTATACTTAATTACCGTTATTTCGTTGGGAGTCTTTTTTTGTTTCTTGTTCCTCCAAAACTGAAAACCCACTTGTGCTGGGACTATTTATTATGCTATTGGGTGGTCACGTGACCGCCAGGTTATAGAGTTTTGTAGTCCTGTATTACAGTGTTTTCAACACTTTTTCCATCTGTCGCCATATTTTATTGTTCTGAGATCGTGTTGCGTAGAGCGCTGTGTCGTATCCAAGACATAATAGCCTGATAAAATATCACACCACATGACATAACTAGTTGACCACCAAACTGTTTCATTTACAGATGCTAATCGCTACTCTAGAATTACAAAGTTCTATCTGACAGTTTTGACCGTTTTGAGTTACTCAGACCACGAAGCCAGAAACCAAATTAATGTTCTATCTGCTCTATCAAAATCGTTAGTTATTCGAAGTCTCTAGCAAGATATTCAAAGAGTTGCATTCGAAAAAGCTTGACGTGTTGTGAAAGGCAAATGGTTTTTAAACGTCAAATGTTTCAAAGATATGCACTGAGCAGATAGAGCTTTGTTTGTTGTTGTTGTTGTTTAAATCCCTTGCCCATTTATGAGATTGACGACCGCCATCTGACTAGCACAAAACAGTGAGTATGATAGTGTCCAATAGTGTATTACGTACATACTTAGTATGACAATTTAGTAACTGTTACAGATAGCGATTCCAGGATTGTTGATGTAAATCGTTGATCTGAGAGCAATGGTGATTTTAGAAATAATAGTGGTGATGAGTGATGATGTGGGATTGCGTAAGTAATGTTAGCGTTAGTCCTATCTTCCTCTGCTCCCATGAGTCACGAGGGACGTGGGCACCGTCTATCCCGTTCCCTACTGGAACCATCTTTACGGTCACCGTGAAGTTCCGAGATAGCACTTTGTAATTCTGAGGCACCAGTGTAATGTCAGGACTGGTCTAGTCTTCTTCTCGCACGAGGAGATGGGGCCTTGGCCTGACAACTTGATATCTCATTAAGGCAAACATTGACAGATCTGAATGACTTACGTCGTGCGCGTGAGGGTTCCCTATGTCAGGCTATTGTATGTCGGGTCGACCTGAGACTCTTGTGTGTGTGTGTGTGTGTGTGTGTGTGTGTGTGTGTATGTGTGTGTGTGCGTGTGTGTGTGTGTGT